CTAAAATTAAATTTGATGAGTTTTTCGACATAATTCATGCATCCCAAATCGCTTTGTGTAAATTATGCCAACGTAAAAAGGTTGAAATAAAAATGAAAAACAGAAACACTTCAGGCTTAAGGAAGCATCTAATATCTTTCCACAAAAAGGAATCACAAATATTTCTTCCGGAAAACCAAAATTAAGTGGAGACATCACAAGCTTTTTAATAACCACCGGAAAAAGTGGACAGGTAAGAAAAAATATACTTATCACACAATTACATAACACATATATTATGTAACTAGCGGCCGCCTGCGACTTCGTCCGCGTACAATATCTGATTTCCTATGAGATTTTGAAATTTTCTCGCTTCAAAAGTCTTATCTAACTATAAAGAGGCTATATAGGTAAAGCTTAACTACGCAAGTATTTATTATTTAAAACTAATAAAGTAAATGTCGATCTTCATATGTATACTTTAAAAATATAGGACTTGCATGTAACCATTTTACCCCAATTTCACCCCCTTAGGGTTAGGATTTCGTAAAACAGCTTATTCAGAATTTTATTATTGAAAACTTATAACTTTAATGCCGATTTTCGTGTCTCTAACTTCAAAAACGTAGGACTTTCATACAAACTTCCAACTCCCATTTCACTCCCTTAGGGATAGATTTTCTCTCGGGGGTTACGTCGTGGCCCCCGGCCACCGTAGGCGCGGGCCTGTGGACGGCGAGCAATGGGTAGCTCGTCGTCCGTCCGTCTAATGACGACAGGCCGTGTCGACGGCGCGTTTTGTTCCACGCGCGCCTCAAAGAGCTGTCAGCAGCGTGAAGGGGCCCGCAAGGGCCGACGCCTGCCGGGGCTGCGGGCTGTTCGAAAGAGATACCGCGGCTCCGGAACATGGTTTTTAGTCAGTAAAAGTCTGACACTCCCTTACGCTCCACCCAGAGCGAGAGGGGTCATTTGATGATTTTCCATCCGCAAAAAAAAAAAAAAAAAAGGGATAGATTTTCTCAAAACCGTTTCTTAACTGATCTCTATGCCATAAAAGGAACCTACCTTACAAACTTCAAGTTTTTATGTTTTATAGTTCCTGAGATATCATTATAGTCAGTCAGTGAGAGGTAGTTATATATATATATATATATATATATATATATATATATATATATTATAGTGTTAAATATGTATTTATAATTCACTCATATTTTCATTTGTTTTTATAATCGGTGAGACACTTGATTTACTGTTTTATTTCAGTCTGAAAATAGCAGTGACAACATCACGACAGCTACGGTTGATTGGATGGTTAAAAAATATCTTCCCTTCTCATTTTTCGATGACGAAGCTACACAAGTATATTTTCGATCAACTTGCCCAAATATGGTGTTTCCTAAAAGGTCCACACTTAGAAGGAAGGTCAAAGAACGGTTTGAAGAGCTTCAATTGAATCTTAAGAAACGGCTACAATAATTTTCATCTAAAATGTCATTTACCATTGATGGATGGACGTCAATATATAGACAACGAATGGAAGTATCGATCTGTAGTCCTTGAGTTTATACCATCACGCGGTCGACATACTGGGGAAGATATTGCAACGATTTTCCACGAATGTTTATTGGAATATGACATAATTGATAAAATCAGTGTATCACGGTCGACAACTCAATTGCAAATACCGAAATTATGTATGAATTGGACAAACAGCTGCCACACTTTGATTCAAACAATCAACATTTCCAGTGCTTTGCTCACATTTTGAACCTTGGTGTACAAGATGTATTAAAGACCTTAGCATTACACAGTGAAACTGACAATAAGGGAAAAGAACAGCAGTATGAAGATAATGAAGACGAAACTGAGGAAGATGAAGAATATGCGCCAAATATTGCCGACTCACGTACAGCTATAACAAAATTACGCAATATTTCCAGTAAAATAAAAAGAAGTGAGATATTGAAGAGGAAGTTTCAGTCTGCTTGTGAAGCAGCTGGCGTGCCATCCACCTCATACTCGACTGTCCAACGAGATGGAATTCCACACATGATATGATTGGATTTGGTTTAAAAGTGAGAACTCGCATTAACATATTGTGCACTTCCGTCACCGAATTGAATAATTTTCAAATCACAGATAGTGAATGGCAAATACTCGAAAAAATACATAAGTTTCTAATAAACTTTAAACTTCTATCAACGAAACTTGGTGGACAAAAATATGTTACATTACCGCTAGTCATTATATCATTCAACCTCTTGCTCGATAAAATTGAATCCATGGTGTACCATTCGATCCGAAGTGGATGAAAGGCTCATTCTGGGTTTTCAAGCAGCTCGAGACAAAATGCTTAAACATTATAAAAAGAGCAACTGGATTTATTGTACCTCTTTAATTTTAGACCCAAGGCATAAGACTCAGACTTTTGACATGACATTATGGGGGAAGCAAATTAAAACAGAAAGCCTGCGCAAATTTAATGAACTTTATAAAGAATATAAAAGTCTACACTCAATGAATACATCTCTAGAATCACCAAGAAATGAAAAGAAAGTATGTGAATATGATGAAGATGAAGACGTAATAGACTTTGAAAAATTGTATGCATGTCCCTCGACGTCATCCGGATCTGGATCTTTTCATCAAGGCTTAGTTATAGACGAGTTGGAGGAGTACCTAAGTAAACCCAGAGCCACCAGTTCGGAAGATATTTTAGAGTGGTGGAGGACGCATGAGACAGAATATCCGACTTTATCGAAGATGGCCCGTGATTTTCTTTCAATACCTGCAACTTCAGTACCTGCTGAGAGATTATTTTCTAAAGCATCATTAGTAATTAGAAAAAATAGAAATAGGTTAAGTGATGAGTCAGCCAGATGGTTACTTTGTATTAATTCTTGGTCAAAAGAATTAATATAAAGTAACAGTAATATCAAAGCTGTTGTGTAATGTTATGTAGTTTAATTTGTATTTTATTTTTTTTTATTTAAATAAATGGTAAATTGTATAACTCTTTTATTCCATTTCATATAAGGGTCTATCAATCTCTTTCTAGACAGATAATGTTCTTTATAATACAGTCAAGTTAATGTAATTTGTTTTTTATATGTTTTGACTAAGTTTTAGCACATGTAAGCTTATTAAATGTAAACGTTTATTAAGAAACAGACTAATTACCGTGGCCGTGAGACTTGGTAGACAGCTCAGTTGGTTAGAGCATCGGCACGGATCACTTAGGTCGTGGGTTCAAACCCCACCCGGTATTAGTTGATTTTTCGAATTTCTCATTAAATGTTTAGACATTTATTAATTTGGTTGGTCTTTCTATGGCTATGTTAATTCAAGCTCAAAATGTGCCTACTCTGTTAAGTTGTTCTAAGATCTAAAGTAACGTTTAATAAATAACAATAGGCTAATAGGTAATTGCGAGACTTGCGAGACTCTTGCTGCAAGACCAAGACCAAGAACAAGACTGAGAGCGCAATACCAAGACCAAGAACAAAACCAGGTGTATTGGCGCAAGACCAAGACCAAGACTGGCTAAGTCTCGTCTTGTTCTTGCATTTGGGTAACACTAGCTAGCAGCCCGGCGTCAGGAAGTTGGCAGAGCGAACGTTGGTTCTGGACCTTATCTTTCGCCGGTCGTGGCAAATCGTCGTTCCATCGGACTATGACAGTGAGATAAAAGAGTGAGCACCTGTGCTTGCACAAACACTCGTGCACTGTAACTTTGTCTGGCGCAAAAGGCTAGATTCGTCATGTTTGGCCACCAGGACCGAAATTCGGGGAACATTGCAGTCTATGAAAAATCCACTGTATAGCATAGGGCTGTCTCATAGATTGCTTCAACGGCGAGTTATTTGCCATAGATGTCACGGTTGGTAGGCGGGTGGGCAAATACAGTTTTTAATTATTGTAAAGTTGTTATCGGGAAGGTGATGCTGCTCGTTTCCAGATGCAATCTTCCTAAGTTGCCTCTTATACGACGACAAGCAATATATAATATGCACAAATGATCAAATCCTATACAGTTCTTCGTTTCTTGAATGCATCAGATCTTCCCGCTTATATTTTAAAGCTATTGCTCCGATAATTCTGATGCATAATTTAAGCTCACCGAAATTGCATAACATAACAATACGTATTATCAAAGACGTCATTAAGGATATTTTTAACAAGCTAATTAAACATAAGGAGAAATTATTCTCTATAGAATCTAATGCTGACAAACCTGTTTTCCCAACACAAGTGTCTTAGACTACTTAAAGGGCAGACTCGACAAATATTTGTAATAGGACTTTTGGAAATAAAGGAAATTTTATTTTATTTATTTTGTTTTATTTACCTGAACCCAACGCTGACCCCAACCAACTACCCTTTTTTAAATTTAAAGCATTTGCAGGTTCCCATAGCAGTCTGTTTTGCAATGACCATTTACAAATTAGTCGTAGCTTTGCAGAAATCATTATATACTTTTTAATTATTAAGAAAAGGTCCAAGTGCGAAAATAAATTGCTATGTGTTTTACCTAGTATAAAGAGCACCTCTTATGGTCGTGTATGTTATCACCGTATCTACTTTATTTGTATACTACTCACAACGAAATCACTTAATATGTTGCGCAAAAAGAAGCCGCAAATTTTATTGTTATATATTAATGATTTTTACCGTTATTAAGTTATGCTACGACATAACTATACATTCTACACAAACGAATAAACGTAGAAGCGAAAAAGTTGAGTTCTATTTGAGAAAGTAGGGTTTTATAAAAAATATAACGAATTTATTTTACGTAATCCATGTTCAAAACTTACAAAACTGATATAAATTGACTAGATTTTTTCTAAACAGTAATATATTTACTTAAATTTACGTTCTATGGAATGAAATACTTTCATTTTTTTTCGCTGTTTAATTTTTAAAATAGCGCCATCTAGGTACACCAGATGGAACAACAATAACAGTGGATAGTGATAAAGTGAAGCCTTTCGTAACGCTACTGGAAGGTTACTTACCTAAGAGATTAACGTCCATAGCCCGGCGGATTACTGAAAAGGGCACCCACTCTAGTTCGCCGAGCGCACACCACGACTCACAGTTTGCAATCGCCCACAAACCTTGAGCGCCCTCTGGTAAATGGTCTACGATGTACAACGAGGCTGACAAAATCTGTGGGAAAAAGTTTTAACGTTATTGAGAACGGTGTCGCTTAAATTAGTAATTTATGGAGTGGTAGATGTAGTTTTATTTTTAATTTTATTTTATTGGTAGTCAAATTTCGAATGAAAATTCCATGCGAATCACCTTATACAATCTCCATCTTATTCGTAAGCCACATATGTATAAAGAGTATATTTTATTGAACAAGGCTGGCATAAAGAAAAATATTACGTATCACTTTTGTATAGGGACTAATGACTTTCGTTCGGTATAGTCTTTGAGTATTAAACCGATGAATACTCAAAGGGTATAGTAGTGATAAAGTGAAGAATGATTTTAAAATTGTTTTGGTATTTTTGGAAATACACATATCGGTAAGGTTAAAGTTACAACCTATATACGTCCCACTCCTGGGCACAGGCCTCCGCTCATTTCTAAAAGGGGTTTGGGCAAGGAATTGTCCGCCGCGCTGCACATGCCTTCGAAATATTTTTTTTCTTATCTCTCAGACATGCGGGTTTCCTCTTTCAAAATCAAATTTTCGTATTTTTTAAAAATTACTAAAAAAAAGGGGTTTGAAATAATAGATTTTCTCACAAAAGAAGGGAACTTGAAAAAAAAAAAAAAGGAAAAAAAGCGGGACCAAAGTCAAGACGCGAACCACGGAACTCCGATATCACGCCCGACCGACATACCACCTAAGCTACAACGATCGTTACTGATTTGTCGAAATTTACTTTCTTATATTGTAGCAGTTTTTTTTTATTGCCTGAAAACATGGACAAAAGGACATTTTCTAAAAATAAATCCAAGCGTTCGTCGCTAAAATCGTTGGAGCCGTATAATTTTCTAATCTGGTTCGGTTATATAAATATTTAAATATATAAAATTATAAATTAAAATGAAAAGATATATACATAAATATCAATAAAATAAAATAAATACAAATAATATTATATTATTACTGTTATTATTTCTATTATAAGTTGTGGTTCGGTGAAGCTGCAACCTAATGGACCATGATCTGAAATTTTTATGAAAAGAAGTGGCTGACGTCAATTATTATTATTCTTATTATTTTTCATTACTGCCTTTTTCAACCTCACAAGATATTTGTAACTGCAAAAAAGAAAACTACGTATAAGTAAGTAAATCAGTAATATAGTGTTATGTATGATTCAGACTAAATAAAGGTTCCTAAAAATAGACGTAGATAAAGAAATTGCATAAAAAATTACTCAAATAAATATGCAATAAACTTGTTAATTTTATAGGTACTTAGTGAAATATTAAAATAATAAGTTTTTTAGGATATTTATGTAAAACATAAAGGTTATATTATGTTCTAACTACGTTCACGCTTGCGCATATAAAACCGCGGAATTTCACTAGTTTTATTATCAAAATAATAATTGACAACCCTACCCTAAGTTTGCCTTGATTTTACCAACTCAAACTCGTTTTAGGAGATCAAAACATAGAGAGAAAGATAGGAGACTATTTTTTATTTAATATGGTTCATCAAATCCGTAAAAATAGTTTAAAATACTCACACAATAAAATTTTGAAGTGCTCATCACACAAACATTTGTCCTGGGTGGGAATCGAACCCACGACCTGCGGCATAGCAGTCAGGGTCACTAACCACTAGACCAACAGGCCTGACGATAAATAAAATAAAGTCTCTAGCTCGAGAGGAGAGGAGCCGTGGTAGCTCAGATGGTTAGCACTTGCTAAAATTTTCACAGTGTGCGAGCAAACCGGGTTCGATCCCCGCCGGCACCAATAATATTGTAATTGCAATTTTAAGTGTTGATTTACCACGTGCTCAGTGGTGAAGGAAAACATTGTGAGGAAACCTGCATGTCTGAGAAATAAGAAAAAAAATATTTCGAAGACATGCACGAAGTTCGCCAACACGCAGTGGGGCAGCGCGGTGGATAATTCCTTTCCTAGGACCCTTTCAGAAAATAGAATAGAAATAAAAAAATAATAAATCCATACTTCATTTAAAACCAAACATATAAATTGTGAAGTAGCTGCAGGTATCTATAACCAAGTAAAAGATATTCCTTTACTCCAACTTGTCCATGATTCCCAAAACAATTTTTAATTAAGCTTTATATTATAATGCGGATTTTTTATATTTAAAATTTTAACAATAAAGCATTTCGTACGTCTCAGACGAGGCGCAAATATTTTTCGGCCGCAAATTTATAAGACCGATTTGTTATTCAAACATAAACATGGTTTTTTAATTAAATCTACCAATCATAAAACAACACGCATTTTTATTGAACACTTCCTATTCAATTCACAAAGTACCTATTATATATTTATTTATATAAAAAAAGTATATTTAAGTACAATCATAAAACTAAATGGAAACACAAAGTAGGAAAATGCATTGAGTTATAAAACACATAAATCAATGGACAAATGTAAAAATGCTGGAGGCAGGCAGCCCTGTCGCATGTTTACGTACCGCACGGCTGTAAGATTTATTTCTAAGATACGGCCGAGTTACAATATACCGTGACGTAAGCGCATCGGTTGGTAGGTACTCAAATAATATTATGTTTGCGGCGAAATACGAACGCATACAGCGTAATGCCGCCCGCACTCTGCGCACGCCCCTTTATTATAGAAGTCACACAATTTTCGGAATTATTTCAATTAAAAGAGAAAAAACGAACTTAAAAATTTAAATAAAACGTGGAGAATATAGATTTTTTAATTATCTATCCATTAGTGTTATCCTCAAATAATTAGAGCGTTGCGTTTAGCAACAGATGCATGTAATCAAGAATTTTAGTCATTTTTTAAAAGTTGATTTTAAATGTATTTATAGCACATAAAAAAAAATTAGAACGTGGAATGCGATGATAAGATATCGAACATTAATAATGTACCTTTAGATGTAGTTTATTTTTCATAACTAATGAGATAATAGAGTCTGAAAAACGCACTTTCGCAACATTTTGGTCAGGGATTCACCTTAAGACGTTTCCCCTAGCGAACAACCTTGAGCGTTCGGTCCTACACAATCCACGCACTCTCGCTGCAATATATCCTGTAAAAATATGCCCGAATTTTTGGAATTACTTCAATTAAAAAAGAAAAGCGAACTTAAAAAAATAAATAAAACGTGGATAAAATAGATTTTTAAATTATCTATCCATTAGTGTAATCCTCAAATGATTAGATTGTTGCCTTTAGCAACAGATGCATGTAATCAGTAATTTTAGTCATTTTTTAAAGTAGATTTTAAATGTATTTATAACACATAAAAACAAATTAGAACGTGGAATGTGATGATAAGATATCGAACATTAATAAAGTGCTTTTATATGTAGCTTATTTCTCATAACTAATGAGATAATACATAGTCTCTGAAAAACGCACTTTTGCAGGATTTTGGTCGGGGTACCGCCTATTTTAATCATATTTGCACACCGTGTGCAGTTTGGTCCAATTTGAGAGATGGGATAGTTTTTTCGCCCATAAGCGAACCAAAATTTTTTTTGCGAATTTAATGATTTTTAATAGGACATGCCAAAGGTCGTCGAAAAGGGCAGAACAACGTCTGCCTGACCCAGCTAGTATAATAATAATTCTTTATTGAACACAGATCAATAAACGATGAAACTTTACGAACAAATAGATGGAGAGCAATCCCAGCACTGATTAAGAATGTATTTATTCGGAAAACGTAGACGATTATTTAGTAAAATTCAAAAATATAATTAAATAAATGGTTTTTAATGATTTTATTATCTTTAAAATATATGTGTATACACTCTTCTGAATGAGCGTTCGTCACTGAACTCCTCCTAAGCGGCTAGTTAGATTTGATGATTTTTTGTGTCTGTTGAGTGGGGTCTTTGATGGTTTAGATTCAGAATTGGACCCAGTAGTTAGCACTGTTGTCGCTGTAATCACCCGTGCAAAACCGGGGCGGATCGCTAGTAAACTTAAAAATATAAAATAAGCTACGAACAAAACTGTTTTAGTTTGTAATTTTACACCAAAGATCCTTTTACTTTCTCTATCTTTTAAAGTTTTGATTCTAAGCCGATATTTAGCATTTTTATTTAATTTAATGTGATTTGTAAGGAAACTATGAGTGTTTAATGATAATGTTATAGGACCTTTTTCAAGTAAAATTAATAGAGTTTCATTTTTTATTTTAAATATTTTTCGTGTAATGTAATGGTAGTAAAGTTGAAATTAAAGTGGCTTTCCGATACTTGAACTACTTGTTCAGAGAACTCTGGATATACTCGTAGATCTGTAGGTTTTTTGTTTAAGTTCTACGCAGATGAACTCTCGGGTAAAACCTAGTTGGAAAATATAATTGGCAACAAAATAGTTTATTTTACCTATATCTACTTGGTGTGGATTTTTTACTGCTATCTTAAAAATAAGTAGTTTATTTATTTATTTTTTATACTTTATTGCACTGTAATAAAAAGGATTACAAAGGGCGGACTTAATGCCTTTAGGCATTCTCTCACAGTCAACCCGGTAGTTTAGTTAGTTAGAAAACTTATAAGGTAGAAAGTTTGACGAATAAGTTGTCCTTGTACAGGTAAGCAAAGTGTAGGGCCTCTCACTGGATACGAGTAGAGTGACGGCTTGGTTATATATGCAAGGAAGAAAGTGGTTCATTCATAACCATGTTTTGTGTGGCAATTCTTGGGGGAGTTTGAAATGATGATGATGGTAATAATAGTGAGATTAGATACATGTAAATAAAATTGAAATATCTGCTGTACCGAGAAAACTGCCTTTTATTGAGCTGTGAGTATGGAGTGTAGAGGTAAGGAGTACAGACTATGTACAAAATAGTGTCCGTAGGAAATCGTTAAATAAGGGTGGCGCCACAGTAGCTGCAGTCTAAAGGAGACGGTCCGTTTTAGGCCAAGTACATATGTACACTATACCGTAAAAAAGCGAAAAATTCAGGGATTTTATTAAAAATAAATTAGATGATGAATTGAACTAAA